ACAATATTGAGTTGATGTTGATCAGTAGAAGGAAACCCCATTAAAAACTCGTATTCTTGATAGCATTCCCTCCTTATTAAGACTCTTTGATTGTTGAAATAATTTACAGTTTGTGGCTCTCTCTGGTACTGAATACATAAACAGCTGAGAAAAAAGACAAAACTTCTTATGTCTACAATCAGTTATATAACTGAGACATATTTATGAAACAAACATTTCTATGTTCTGAATACATCTTTTAACACATTTATTCTCTTGCATAAGAATAAAGTCTTCATGTACCCTTATAAAAACATTTACAAGCTTTAAAGTGCAAAATAGGTCATCACAAACACACTACCCAATACCATGTTCTCTACAGCTCCATTTAAAAAGTCCATTTTCAGACCTCCATCACATTCAAAGCCTTCAGCTAGCTTTCTCTTGCCTTCCCCAATGTCATAGTAGGACAGTTATGGTCCACTGGAACTCTAAAGGCTAAAACTTTTAAAAGGGAAACAAGACATTCAGATAACGCATTCCCATTATATTTCAACAAAGTCTACCTGTTGGTTGCAGCTCTCTGCCTTAGCCTCGTTTGAAAAACCTCAGCCAAAACTGACAATCAATCTGAGCTGGAAGAGGAACTTGGGAAACGAGAGTCTTAGAGAATTGGATGTGCACTCTGCAAGTGCTGCGTGCATGAACATGGACCTTAGCGCAATTCAAGACACACAAAGCTCAAGTCTTCAACTTAGCTTTCCCACAACTGTGTAGCAGCAATACAGCTAAGAACAATCACATTGCCTTACCGTTTGTTTAGGTTGAGATGGATGTATGAGATTTCAAGCCTTCTTTCGATGTTTAAAGAACCTGAGAATTATGCAGACACTATGATCGAAGAGATTCATGAATATGCATGTATCTCAAATAAAATACATCAGCATGCTTCAAAAAAGTCCCCTCTACAGATAAAGCTGAAAACAAAACCTCCAAACAGCAAAGGCTGGGGAGTAATGACAATTCAAGATATGACACTGCTGAGGCAGGGGGAGAAGTCTGCACAACACAAAGCTGGAATTAAGACCTGAAGTAAGGAATGTTTGGGCATTTCTCTTGTTTGCAAGTAGCGAAAATATGATCTAAAATTCATTTAAAATAAAAATTAATAAAGTATCGATCGTCAACAAGAATGAGTTTTCCAATGAGAAAATGGAATCAACATTAGATGCTACAGAACATCTGATAACGTGAATTTTATAGATGATAAAACACATTTAGTAAACTAGCAGTGTTGTCAGAAACCTCCACTGTGTCATGCTATCATAAACATCTTAGAGATGGATATTACCTAATCGGGGTGGGGGGGAAAGAATGTTCCTCTCCTTTTTTCTCTCTTTCCTTTGATCAAAAACTCTTCATAAAAAATGCCATAACTGATTCAAACAATTTGTTACAGAAATCCTTTTGAGATTTATCAACAAATCAAAGTGCTCTAAGCTGGTTGGCCTATAAGAAAGAGGATCTGTCTTATAGTCAAAATAACATCTTGTTTATTATGAGACAACTGAGAGGAAACTCCTTAAAGATCAGTGAATACAAAACTCATCATCGGCTGGAAATGAATCTGCCCCCAGTGCACTGCAAATCATCTTCGACAAGATAAATTAGATTAATTAGATCCGCGTAGTCTTCTTTGGAACCTCACAGACTACAAATATGCCTTGGAACCAATATGTGTATGGGCCATGCCAATTGCATTTGGAGCAAAAAAAGGCCTTATTGAAATCCACGGAATAATTACAGGCCCCAGATAAAAGTATCACAAAGAGATGAAACTGTCTTGAGCTCCAAAAAACGGACAAGCTGGAACATCTTAAGAATGAGAAGAGCTGGAACAAGCTCTAACAATAAGAGCAGCACTCTTATACGGGAAAAGCCTGGTCCAATCCAAACAATTAAAGACAATCCTAACAAGTTAAAACTCTGTCGTTGTTACACAACAATAATAAATGACAGCTAGATCCCACATACTGTATTTCCAGAATTTATGCTAACTAAGCTAAGTTCATGACATCTGAACAACTGAAAACAGCAAGAAAGAAATTCATTAGTACAGTAAATGAAGAACTCTGCAGCACTCAGACTCATCAGAAAGAAGAGAAAAGCAAGCATTATTCTCTTCCCATCATCTGTATCATAGCATGTGGGGTGACAGGACACCCCAGTTACCAGCTGCAGCAAGGATAAGTGGCTTTAAGGAAGCCTTCTTTAACTACTTTGATTTTATTTTTTAGAAAGTCCTAAAATAAAGCAATAGATATTTTTTAAATCACCCAATAGTATGTAGAACATAAATAGGTATAATTAATTTGGACCCTGAAAGATATTGCAGTCTTTATGCACAGTACCTTGTTGACCTCTGCTAAAAAGGCTTACACAACTACTCAAGGTTGCTTACTTGCATGGACTGCAACCCTGCAGAACAAACAAGAGAGATAAATTCTTACTGTGATCTATTCAGACTGCAAATCTGTCTACAGATTGTAGGAGATAGGGTTGGGCACTCAGAAGATCTCGCGATGTACGGAAAGACAGAGGCCCTCCTAGCCGAACAGACGTAAGCAGGTGGAAATGAGGTCAAAGCTAGAAGCATATATATTGTATCGCACAACAAGAATAAACGCCATTTGCAGCATCCTCATATTGGTGTCAGTGTTGCTTTGGTCCAGGGTTGGTTACCCTGTGCTCCACGAAAAGGACGAAGTTGTTGCCCAGACCATGAGCAGCAACACAGATATGCCTTGTTGGGGTGAACCTGGTAATAAGAAGAGTAAAATACAGTCTAGAGCCCAACATGATGTAAGCTACAGTCATCCCACCCATGTCCATGCAGATTCAAAACCTTACAATGAGACCCTGATTCAAAAATACTTCACAGAACTACCATTGCTCTCTGTCTCTCAACACATTCTCCTCCTTATTCCCTAACCTTTATCACCTACTTTATTCCCTACCTCCGTCATTATAAATCTGGATACTGGGTCCCACTTCCTCTTCCTTTTTATACCAGTGTAGCTCCAGTTACCCTACCTTGGCACACTATTCGGAGTACAACAGAGTTCTTTCACATCATTTGAGTAACTGCATATTGACCGTCACCTCCAGAGAATTTTCACTGGTCTGTTAATCACAGAGTAATGTTTGGTCACTCTGAGTTTTTTGGACTTGGGGGGAGGGGGGGGGGCAATGTGGTTTTGGGCTTGATTTTTTTGGTTTGTTTTTGGGTGTGGTTTTTTTCATTTGCTTTTGGTTTTTTGGGGTTTTTTTGTTTGGTTGGGGTTTTTTTGTTTGTTTGTTTGTTTTTTTTTTTTTTGTAAATTCATTAGCAGTCTGTTCCTAAATATTTGACTACGGCTTGCACATCAAGGACAAGATCCAAAGCACTGCTAATTCTACAGTTGTCCTTCCACTGCAGTGACTTGAGGATTAAAAGTATTCTTTACAGAATTCTGAGGGAAGAGCTACAAATACCAGAGACTACTCAACACAGGTCACAGAAGAAGTCAGTACACGGACTTATGTTGGGCATGTACCTGCTCCTTTCCTATAGTCCTCTCATGTCCTTACCTCACCGGCACTACAATATTCAGCTTCTTCCCTAGTCTTTAATATTTCCCCTAGCTTCTTTGCTGCAATGGTCTCTCTGGTTCAATTTCTGACAAAGACAGAGCATGTAAGCAGCAGACATGCTCACACTGACTGATTTGTTAGGGGTGGCATTAAATACACTGTATGACTTCTATCTTCTTTCTCATTACATTAACACCTTCCCATGCCTGCCTGACAACTGGTAGGCCAAATGGTTTTGTGGCTTATTTGGCATCTCACATTTCTTATTTCTCAAACCAACCATCTCTCCTATTACATTCCCTGTCTGTTTTCTTAGAAAAATTAAATCCTCCTTATATTCCTGAAAACAAACTGGTACAAATTGCAGTACTCTACCAGCTTCTTTAACTTTCTAATCAATTTATAATGCAGAAATTAATACCACCTTATTGTCTGAACATACATTTTGAAGGCTTCCCTAAGGCTAACACTCAAAGAACAGACTCTTTCTCCATAAGACACAGAGCCTTCAAGTATGTCCTGAAGCTCTTAACGTGAGATCCTGCATGCCTACGGTACTCAGTAGCTCAGTGTGCTGCCAAGCACACTCAGACTGTTCAAAGGCAGTTATGCTGTTGGAAGGCAAGTGCATATGGAGACGACTGTGCTGACATGCATTTCCATGCCCAACTGTTGCAAAGATAAAGCCAACACACCCTATTTCAGAAACAATACTGAAAAATTACAAAGAAAAGGAAACAGTTCTGTAGAATTGCTATTGCCATTTTTTTTTTAATAAGGCTTTTCATAGATACACATTAAAGTTATGTTCTTGCTACCATCATGAGCCATCTCCTATACAAGCCAAGCACAAAAAGTTATTTTACTGGATTCAGATTTTTTGCTTCATGACAGCCCTAATGTTGATAATATTATCAGCATTATGGGCAGAAGACCAGCTGAGAATAAGGTGCCATTGTAATAAGCCCTGCCCCTTCAGTGAGAAGCAGTAGTGCCCTGGAGTACGCATCAATATTCTGTTGTGAACACTTATGCATCTGAATGCTTTAGAATACTCACAACTGCAAAAGGGAAATATTTAACATTTGGTAAACTGCGGCAAAAGGAAGCAAATTCTCTGGTAAAGGAGGGAATCAAACTCCCATGTGCTGATACTAATCAGTGGACTATCCTTGTTTTCAGGACTGAAATGGACAAAATGGATGGAGGAGAAAGCACCTACCACAAACTGATACCCAAATTGCACTCAAAATTCAGGTCTCCTGAAATCCAGTTTATTGCCATTTAGGTTACACCAGGTATTGTACTAATACTCTCCTACTGAAATTAGGCTTGAAACAAAAGTTTACCAAACAGAAATGGCTGGTAATCAGGCAGAGAAACCTCACCTGAATGAGATAGTGAGAACATAAACTGAGAAGCTCCAGCAGCTGCAAATGACTCCCAGCTGCTAGGACATCCTGTATCACCCCTGGTTCCAAAAGGATCTGTAAAGAAGAAAACGGAAGGTTTGTCATGTAGAACTCACAGTACATGTAGAAAATACTATAGACCTTTGTTATTTCAGACATTTAAGTCAACATACAGAACAGAAAGAGTACAATTAATGGGAGAGTAAGGAAGAAAAGAAGTAGAGAGTATGGAAGAAAAGAGTACAGGATGGGGACAGAGTTTTAAAAGTTCACCTGAATTGCCCAAAGGATTTTTAAGCAGATTTTCCTGTGAGAGTCCACAAGCCACATTACCACCTAAATCCTTTAAAACTAAATGCATGTTATTTATTTAAAAAGGACACTTTTCAAAATAACAGAACCTCCTTTTGTTATCCATATATCTGGATGCTTCCAAAAATACCGAACTGACTCAGAAGTCTCCAGTATTATTATTATTCATGCTCGTAAAAAATATACAGGCTAGGAACAGCTTCCCATTCTGCATGGTACCACTTCATAATTTTCCTAACCACTGTCTTCATTTTAGAGAGCAAGGCTGTGAAAGCACAGAGTGAGCATGCTGCTGGGTAAGTGCCAGAAAGGGCTTAGAAACCAAGACTGATTATCCTGTCACTTGCTCACATGAAACTCCTACTCATTTCAATTAAAATCACACACAGGCAGCAGCCAGGATAATTGGGCCTAAGCTCCTAGCCTGCTGTCTTGGGGTCAGCTTGTTAGAGCATCCCTTTCAGGACACAAAAAAAGTCTTTGAGAATACAGACACTGGTCAACTTCTCATCAGTAATCACATTACAAACTATTCAAACTAATATTATATTTATATATAAGTGGTGCAGCATCCAACAAAAATCAGAAGTACATGAGAAAAATTTATTTTTCAAAGGTACTCAGTTTATTCAGAGTTCTATCCTTCTTGTATTTCCCCTGGCAACTTTGGTTTCACACCACATGAGGTCAGTCTCTGACTGCTCCACAGGGAAGTAAAGCTTTTTTCAGATCCTTTTTCTTCTGCCCACGCAATTTAGTTTTATCTCACAGCATCATTTTTATGTCTTAAATGCAGTGGAATAAGGAGAACGGCAAACAAAAGGAAAGACACTCATCTGCATCTTCTGCAGTTAAACTGTTTTTGAGAGAAAAGAAAAAAAACCATGTATGCATTTCTTCAAGCAAAACCACAAATTGTCTTCAACATAATGGATATATTAGGAACAGGAGAGAAGGGGATTGATTCTTGTTTATATCAAGAACTCATTTACATTGAGTTCTGTCAGTGTATGACATGCTTAAAGCTTGTGCAAATCACTATGTATATTCATACTAGGCTTTAAGTGAACATATATGTAATTTACAAACTGTATACAAGTTCTTTATCTAGCCAGAAAGACATGTAAGGATCTTAATGTAAATGAGAATCAGGCCCAGCACAATCCAGGTTTTTGGCTGGTGCTAATGAGGTTGCTATGCATGACAAAAGAGAGTTCAGTGGAAAGCTAGAAAGGATTTCAGTTACAAAAATATCGACAATAGGTATATTTAAAAAAAAAAAAAAAGAGCAGCACTGTCAAATATTTTCAAGTGAGAACTCAAGGTCAGACTGACAAAACAAGCTGGTTTAGACCTTGCAGTGTTTGTTATTCAGACATCACTTATGCTGAGGAAGTTGTCATCTGATGTCATATTACTTACTAAGTGCCAGCCACCAGCTTAGTGTTGTTAAAGACACAATATGAAGAGAACCAGAACCCTAAGCAGATTACTACCTTGTAGGCATAGACAAACTATATTTAACTGGGATAATATTAATGTATTTTAAAGCTACAGCAACCCATTTACAAATAATACTAGTAGCATTATGAGATGAGAAGTAGGACAAGAGGCAAGGAGGGTGACTGGTTACTACCTAGAGGTGATTTGTGCAAAGTCAGCAACAAATGTTCATTTCAAGGTGGCAGACATTTCTTACATGTTTTTCCATTTCTTAAAGCTTTCCTATACCATGCAAGATTTATTCTGCTGAGATAACATAGCCACCTTTGTGTTTTCCAAGATAACTGAGGAAAGTCTATTTTGCCTCTTCTCAAGACTTTGCCTTAAATGGAACTATCTGAATTCTTATTCAATACTTATTTGGATACAGGCAAAAATACGAATTCATCTATGCTAAATGTTCACCATCACCAAACTGCATGCTGGGGAAACCCACAAGAAAAAGAGAACAATAAGTAAAGAAGGAAGAAAATATTGCAAGCCTTCCTTCTGCTGAAACTGGGGTAATTCACAATTATTTCACACCTCTTAGCTTCTACACATTAACACAATTACTCGATTTTTATTAATTACCAGCATAGCTGTTTATATACTATATAGGCCATCCAGCTGAATCCTAACAGTAAACGCACATAAATACCACCATGTGCACACCACAAGTACATGCAGTGACTGACTCTCCTCTGTTTGTCTAACCCGCACAACAATAGCTCTGAGATCTTCAGAGTGATGCTTATTGAAAATTAAGGAGAGGGTAACTAAGATCTACTTTGGATTCACACCTTCAAAGTTCATCACAAATTGTTAATGTGAAAACTAAAGAGAGGAGCTTAATCATTTTCCCCTACTCCATCCTCAACCCAATGGTTACAAGGCATAATTATCAGGGCAGAAACTGGGAGTAATTTGGAACCATCGACTTCAGACAAAATTTGCAATCTTCACCAGTGAAGGATGTGCGTTTGTATGACACATGCCACCTTAAGACTGGTTTCTACGCTATTTCTATATTAAGATTAATTAGATGCAATTCAGGTATTGCACCTGGCTGCATCTTACAATCAATCCCCTATTCAACCCTTATTTCTGAGGATTAATTTTCATTATGCTCTCAACTTTTCTCTGGCCCATGATGCTACCCAAGAAAATCAGCTTAACCACCTTCTCCCTGTATGCAATGGGCAGACCTTGCAGATAGCCTGAGTAAATTATTTTCCCAAGCCACCAGGTCTGACATACTGCTCATTTTCACACTGATCTTTGTCAAGCTATTTTTCTCCTCCTCCACAATGACTGTGTTTTCAAACAGGAATCCCGTTCTTCAAGGCAGCCATTCTACCCTCCATCATCCCACAAACCCTTCAGCAAGCACGCACTAAATCCAGTTCACTCCCTCTTGTGGTCAGATCCATAAACCAAGGGATAGAAAGTACGCAAAAATGTGGTGTTTCTTTGCAACTGAATGCCGAGTGAA